GCCGGTAGCCGCTGCATGGCCGATAATTTCTGTAAGCCGCTGCGCTGGACATTTGCACATCCTGCCATTAAAGTGAGTGGAAGCACTTCGTCATGGCGAAATCTGTAAATGTGTTGAAGCTGAGGGGGACATGTGGAGCCGGGGATATCGACAAAGAGTTGAACATGAGTCGTGCACGAACGACATCGCAGTGTATTCGGCTCCAGCGAGCGTCAGAGTAGGAGCAGGCCGTGGCTGCTGGCATTCAGGTAGCTTGGTAAATCAACGGCAAGGGTGACCTGGACACTCATCGGAACTACTGGTTGCTTACTGGCTGCCAAAATAAGCCTGTGTAAGCTCGTGTTGTGTTGGGCGTATGCCACGGCTATCCGGTCTTGCGCAACTCTGCGGCGCTTGCAGCGTGGCTGCTGCGCGGAGCTTACGCACAGGGCAAAACAAATAAGACACCACATGGAGAGATGCATCACCTTCGAGAATTCATACCAAGCATTCCGTTAACCTGATGAATGCTCTCCTTTGGCAGACAGACGGGATGCACAGGGTGGACACAAAAGTCTTCGTGGATTCCCCAATCTTGGTGTTGTGCTGTCGAGCCGCCAAGGAATCAGACCATGGCGATGACGAGGCTGCTACGAAGACGGATCAGGGAACATGCGCAGATGGCATAGGATGTCGTCCTTGCTTCGGCACAAGTAGTCCTAGCATGATTAGTAGGCCTCAGCGCTGGAGCAGGGCGACTAGCGGGGCTAGTGGTGGATCTTGGCGAGGCCTCATCCGGGACTGCAGAAGTCAACCCTCTGGCTTGCAGATTCCGCCAGGGGCACAGTTGGACTGAGAGCGTTGAAGAGTCTGTGGGATGCCGGAAGCGGAAGAAGCATGAACAAGCACCGTTCAGCGCGTTTCCTTGGCGGCACGTCGAGCGCCATGCTTTGGCAGCATCCTTCCAAGTCCGGCTGCCCCAAACCCCCCCCCCTCTCCCCAGGAGCCGCTGATGCTGCCGATGCTCCCAAAGAGAAGCGAAGCCTCGATGATGCGCACCCCTGCCCCGCGCCCGGCCGCGCATCATGAGCATCAGCGGCTCCTGCCTCCAGGCATGCGTGGCTTATGGGGGCACATTGTCGGCCTAAAACGGAAAGGTCCGTAACAGCACGAAAACCACGGGATTTGCAGCGTTTTCTGCGTTTTCCAAGCTCTCAACCGCAGCCGAAACCCGAGGCCCAACCCGCTGATGCTCATGATGCGCGTTCTGGTGGGGTCCTTTGGGGTGGCCGATGCCCCCCAAAAAAGCATCAACAACGCGTCTTCGGCAAAATTTAAAAAATAGAGTCGATGATGCTCTCCGGGGTCGTCACCCAAAAAGTGCGTCCAGGAGTCCAATTTCGGTGCGGAATAGCGCGTTTTTCGCAATAAAAAATGTACCTTAAAACATGATGCCCTTCGAAAGCCGAAATTGGAGCCGGATGTAGGGGGGGGCAGGGGGGGGTAGGGTGGGGTAGGGGGGTGGGGGGGTGGGGGCAAAGCAAGGGTCGGTTGGGGGTGGGATCCCAAGCGTGGAGTTTTTCTGTGTCAGTTGGGGGCTTCCCCGGCGCTCCCGACCCCAAGAGCAGGGCCGGCGGATATTCAAGCTTTTCGGCTTGCAAAACACCTGCAGGCCGCACGCGAGAATGCTATGTCATAGCATTCCATGAGTGAGAGAGCGACATTCCAGTGATTTTCCACACCAGGATGATGATGTGGAGATCATCTCCGTCAAGGAGCCTTGTGTAGAGATTGTGGCCTGGCTGCAGATTCCGAGAAAGCACCTGAGAGCTGCAACATTTGCTGCACAGAGGTACACAGCCCTCTGGGCGCATGGCTGACGGAAGTTCATGGCCTTCTCAAGCACCATTTTAAGCCTCGAGAGAGCATGTCCTCAACAGTGGCCTCTTTTCCCAAACGCAAACTCGGGAATCAGAACCCTTCTCACACTGAGACCCCAAGTTCTGACCGAACACGTATGCCGATCTCAAGGACCTGCTGACGCCCCCGCGCACGTCTCACAGCCTGCCTGCGCTCCCGGAAGCGTCTGAGCAGGCAGCGGCATTGCCGGTGGACATCAGTTATTATCAGTGGATATGTGATATAGAGAATCCATGAGAAGCCCTTGGGTATGCGATGGGAAGATTTCACCAGGTCAAGGCTCTGCCTCGCGGAGTGAAGCGGGAGCTGGAAGCTGCTCGGCTCTTCTGCTGACACGCGCAGTGCTTTGGGAAAGGTGCAGTTCCGCGATGCCTATAGAGTAACAAGGCTGACACACAGAACGCAGAGGGTTGAGGTTTGTGAGCTTTGACTTCAATTTGCCTCAGGTCGACAGTCCTCGAACGCCACCCCGCAAGGCACCGTCGGCAGCTGCGAGCCTCGCCATGTTCCCGTTCAGGACTGACAGCGCACGCAAAACCCAGAATGGGTTTTTCCCCGATAATTCATGTTCTACCTGCTTTAGTGTGTGCCCCTCTCACCTCCAGGACAGTCGAAGCTGTTTTTGTTCCCGTTTACGCGGTCCCGGGGGTTTTTATGGTTTTAATAGGGATGACTTGATATAAGTTCGACTTGTCAGGAACAAGAAGGGTTCCGAGAGGCCCCCTGACACGCCTTCAGAGTTCTGGCATTCGTATTCCGCTAAGCAGACAGAACTCTCTGCTTAAAAGGGGCAGTGATGGCCGGCAATTGATTTTAAAGGCGCGCCGCGTGGAATTTTCTTACGGAACTCGGACGATTTGACTTAACTCAGGATCCCACCGCGAACCCCCAAACAGTCAGGGTGTCCTGAATGACCCAGCCAATTCGACTTTATTCAGGGGACCCCCACTAGAATAGGTATCACAACAGACGCCTCGCGCACTGCGACGGGATGCGAAGTGGAATTGAGTCTTCCGAGGACGCCGCAGCGCCTACGAGGCTTCCAGCTGCGTGGCTACATCCAGGCCGGGGCCGGGCCAGCACAGATTCACGGGACATGACGCAGCATGCCTCTTTGATAAGATTGCTCATGTGCGCAAAGATCGTGGAGAGTGGACATACTGCACACAGTATGTCCTCTCTTAGCGGCAGGGTGTTGCAAGCGGCATTGGGACGAGGGTAACATACATGGAGGTTTTGGACATTCGATTGTGAATCAGTGCAACCATGCTGACACCGTGCTTTAGCTTGTGCTTAGTCAGCTGAGTCTGAGGCACGCACATGTGACCTCCAGATGCGCGAGCACGTCAGGTCGTGCTGCCCTCAACCCTCATCCCTCAGTTTTTGCTGTGCAAACTCTTGGTCCAGAGGTACTCAAGGGGGTAACCAAGTTGCGTATTTTAAAGGGTTCTGGAATACCACGTACTCATGTCAAGAATGACCCGGAAGAAGTTGTGTTTGGCAAGGAAAGGCAAGGGCATTGCAAGTCCATTCCTTTGCTTGCTATGTTGCTGCATTAGATTCATTAGATGTGTCTCCACAAGCTCTCCCAAGATGAACACACGAAGCACAAATCTGCATCACGTCGCTTGTTATAGTCCAAAGCAAGTCTGCACTCTCAGGGCTCAGGCATTACATGCATCACTCATGCATCACATTCCAGATGGCACCGAAATCCGCCAAGTTGTTTTGTTCGCATTTTTTTGAGGCTGCTGTGCTCCGGGTGGCCGAGTCCCTGCCCTGGTTTTCGGATGTTCTCGGCCCTCGGCTCCTGAGGTTGTTAAGAGACTGTTGGAGACTGAAGGTCCACTGTAGGTGGCCGTTCGGGGCAGGGAGCACTTCTGGATCTTCCGGAAAGCCGAGTCGATTGTCAGAAGGTTTGTCTGAGGATGACGCTTCTTGGAAGAACAGCCGCAAGCGTGATCTTGTCACCTTGTGTCAAGCCAAGCAGCAAAGACTGCAGAATCGCTTGCCTTGGCGCCACAGGTCCGGGCGACAACGCCACGCGCGATTCCATCGCGGAGCTGCTCGGCACGGAGCCCTGGGCCATCTGCCTTGCGACTGACTCCACCTATCGCAAGGGTCCCAAAATGACTCGGGGACTTTCCTGGATGATTTGATTTGGTTAGGGTTTCGTAAAGAGTGAAGGTGAGGGCTCCCATGTGCACCGCGAGTCATCACTTCGTGCGAGGCCTCTCAGGAAGCAAGCCTGGCAAGCCTGGAGCCATGAAGGCAGGGACCGTAGCCCAAAGCCAGAGCTCATAGATTCTTTCGTAACAATTCTGTGCTCTTGGCATTCACTACGAGCCTAGGGCCCTTGTGCGACCTGCACTTAAGGCCTCCACCTACCTAGCCTGGGCGCTCCCAGCAATGGCCTGAGATGCCCCTCCGTGCGACTGACAAAGAAATTCGAGATGACTCGAAATTACATTGGATGCGCCGAGCTCGAGTATGCTCGAGTTCTCGCTCGTGCTTGATAGACAACCCAGGCTTCTGCAGCCGTCCGGCGAACGGGGGCGTTCGTCGGCGCAGCCTTGCTGAGTGTCTACAGGCCTGTGATGGCGAACGGGCGTCGGGGGGCGGAGTTTGCGGAGTGAGGAAGTGTGAGCGAAGTATAGCGAAGTGAACAGCTTGTGATGCCTCCACAATCCCCCACGTATGTAAACTCTTCCAGACTCTTCCCAGTGAGTAACACAACCATAGCAGTGCAACTGTGTCTGAATTTCCGAACAAAGCTGCCTTTTCGGTGCATTCAGTCAGCATCAGCAAGTATTCTGCTCATGTTTGTGCTGGTCCGATTGGTCGGCTTGGTCGGGATGACTTGTCTTAAAGTAGCCAAGTAGCCAGGCAAGTCCAATCTGGCTTAGCTAGGCGCATCCTTTGGTTGCTCCATTTCTCGATCTTAGTTGAAGTCCTGAGTTATCGGTTTCGCATAACATCCAGCCTCGGAGAACTACCACTTGTACCATATGACACGAGGCCATGAGCAGATGCCTCAGCTTGAAAGCTTCCTCTCTCGCTAAGTGTCTAAAGTGGATTAAAGTGGACCATTTTGTGACCCCATGGCTGCGGACGAAGAGCGCCCGCCAGCTGAGGAGCTCAGCGTGCGTGTGATCTCCTGTGATCTCTCGTGCTGTGCCCCTTTAAGGGAACCCCGCGAATCCCCGCAACCCGCTTCCCCGCTTCCACTCCGCAGCTGGTGGCAGGAGGCAGCAGAATGGCACTTCAAAGCTCCGGCTTATGACACTCGGCAGTGGACCAGAGTGCTCGCGTTCTTCGATTCGTTTGCTGTTAGGACGTGGGGGGGATTGGGGGGGGGGTTCATGGATCCTTTTACAACCCGGAAAGCACCTCGGAAGCCAAATGCACGGAACTGAGGAGGCTGAGCTGGCAAAGCTTCGTGCCCAGCGCGAGGCTCTGCGCCAGGAGGAACGGGCGAAAAGGGAAGCGAGTCGAGATCTGTTGAGCAGTTCACGCGGTTGCGACTGTAGGAAGAAGGAAAGGGAAGTTAAAACGGACTTGTGAGCAAGGCATTGTGGGTATTTCTCCAAGCAACTCTTAGTTTCTGCATGTTTCTGCATTCAATTCATGGCAAGATGACCATGCCCGCTGCAAGCCCTCAGGAACCTAAAGACCACAGCCCTGCACAAACTGAGACGCACGATGCTTCGGCGCCCTCTTTCCCATTCGGTTCCTCAAAGGGGCCGGCTCATCAAGGCTTGTCTCGTTGCCTCAAACTCTTGAATCCCTTAAATGTATTTCCTGTCGCACCTCCTCTCTGAAGACATCGGCAGGTCATCGGCGCCTTTCCCTTAATCTTTGCCTCAATCCTGTGAACCCCTTCTGCATCCTTGCCCGAGATGCCCACATCACGCAATCACATGCGATTCATGTACAAGCTACCATGCTTCACGTTATCATTTTTTGTTTTTTCGCGTTGCCGGGGCCTACATTGCCAGCATTGCCCGCTTCACACTACTCCCAGGAATAGCTTCTCTCTACTTGCAGGTTCATTAGTTAATTGCATTTTTCACGAATGTGCTGCTCAAATGTGCAGAGCATTTTTCCACCCGGTGATTCACGCTGGTCTTTTGCCCGACTCACGCTGCTCTATGTCGCAACTCCCGCAGCCTTAACCCGTTTGGCATCCGGAGCGTTCAATTTGCTCTCACACACACAGCTTGCTGGGGGAGGGCAGGGAACCGAAGGAAGGGTTGGGATCACAACTGATGAGGAGATTGCTGCGATTAACCGTCGCGATGCAACAGTGGCTGAAGGGAACAGGCCTGGGGCTTATGAACTTTCAAGCATTTCTGGCTAAACTCAGGTTGCCCCGAATCCATGCGGCTTCTGCGGCGCGTTTTCGGTGCTGTGAGATTCTGCACGAAGCCAGACAAAGGCGCGAACAGGAGCTGCTCGACGCCGCTTCCGCTGCAGAGGTCGGGCCTTGACATGCCCAACAGCTACGCAAGGACTACTGTAAATAGCTTTTGCACTAACAGCCCTTGCGGTCGTCCAAAGCATTGCCGGCCCAGGGCGCTCGGGTCGCCGAGTTCGCAGCGCTGCGGGAGCGGATGGGTGAGGCCCGCGGCCACATGCAACGGCAGGAAAGTCGCGCCACGGACCCGCAGATGTAGCTGCTGCGGGGCAAGAGTATTGCGAGTGACAGCACAGCAATGATCACGTTGGAGTCCGATCGAGATTGTGTGGCAACCTGATGAACTCTTTTCGAGTCTTGTAGGCCATACATATATGTATATGTAAATCCGGGGCACCTGCGTGACATGAAAAATGGTAAACGCTTCGCGTCGACCTGTTTGGTCCAGTCTAGAGCCGGTTGAAGGTTCGTCTGCTTGGAGTTCGCGGTCGGAGTGGAGGGTTTAGGTTTTTTTTGGGTTCAGGGTTGAGATTTGGCGTAGGGCTGCTATAAGCTTCAAGCGTTGTCTTCTGCCCGCCCTCGTTTTGCCGGTTTTGTGTCCTTTGGAATGGGAGGTGGAACCCAAGGGTCGCTAAAGGACTTTTTGACCCCCACTGTATAATGTGGCCTGCAGCCCAACACGTACTTGACACATAGCCATCTGGCGCATGGCAGGTGAAGGACAAGGTGCAGGACCCGCCGCGCATGCGGGCACACTCCGTCCCACCGTGGTTGATTTGCCATGGTTCTCTGGAAGCTGTCGCATGTTGCTGAGACAAGCTGTGGCCAGTCATGCTGTTGCCGCCGCCTGCTGATCCACTCTCCGTCTGTTCGAGGACACCTTAATAGAAGCTGCACCGACCTCGGTTCTTCCAGTTGCTTTGCACTTGGCTTGTGGTCTGTGATATGAAGCTTATGGAGTACCCGCCGCTCCGTTGTAGTCGTGTCATCATCGGAGTAAGATGGTTGGCAGGTGAGTCGGGACAACCATAGTCAGAATGCATACAGTAGCCGTCTGAGTGATGCGTTGGCTTGCTTACTGTTGAGCAGACATCAGCAGACTCTGCCGATTTCTCCGAGGAGGAGAAGGAGCTTTCCTTGGCAGAGGCCGTCTGACTGAGACTCTGTTCCTGTTTCGTTGCTTCGGCCCTGCGGACCTCCCAAAGAGCCCCCCAACCGAGCCCTCAAACACAGGCTTTGAAGCTCAGAAACCCCCGTCTCCCCTTCGAAATTCGCAAGGGGTGCCGCAGCCTCCGTGCCGAGCGCCTGGAGATTGAGAAGGGGCTCCGCGAGGCCTCCGACGCGTCTGGAAACCGACCTTAGTTCACCCGTCGCATCTGTTCTAAAAAAAAACTTTTCGACAATTCTCGACTTTCACTCTCCTTGGTAGTGCAAAGCTGGTTGTTTTGTCCCGGGTTTTCCAATATCAAGTTCCGGCGCATATATTGCTCGATCTTACTATTGAAGCCTGTCAAGATGTTCTTTTCGGGTTGTCTGTTCGGTTCGTGCACCCATCACTTAAGAGTTTTTGTACTTCATTTCACTCATTGCTACGAAGCCCTTATAACTAGTTATAACTAGTTCTTTGACAGGGAAACACTGGGAAACACCGTACTTTCATGGGTTTCCTAATAAACCAAGCACAGATCGGCAAACGTTGACAAGAAATGAACCATTCAGTCGAGCTGTGCTGTGCAACTCATTCGGGGTTCCTGTGCCCTGTACGAGAAGCACGCTAACTACATCGTACTTGGTCACGCCGCCGCAGGGCGCCTCGTCGTCTACATGCCGTAGGAAGCCAAAAACATCGCTACCACTGTGGTTTTCGATCAGCCCAAACAAAACCCCTACTTTCAAGCATCCCAAGAACTACTTTGAAAGTGTATTCGAAGCAACTTTTTCGTTCTCCTTGAGGTTCCTGTGTGTGCTTTGCGCTTCGCATGTCAGGCGAAGGTCTTTTCAAGTGCCTTTCAACGAAGTCTACTTTCTTATTGATAAAATGCGGGAGCGTGCTGCAAATCACACATGTCGGCCATATTGGGTTTTGTGACAAAGCATCAATAGAAATGAGAAACGTGAAAGAGCATGTATGTGGGTGAAATGGGTGTCCGTGGTGTGTGTGTGTGTGTGTGTCTGTGTGTTGTGAATTGTACTTGTATCTAGCCGGATGCAAGCAACCACCCACCCCCAGCTGGGGAACTGCTGTGAAAGTACCGGGCGCCGTGCAGCGCCGTCAGCAAATAACAGGCTAGTTGTTTATTTCCTTGCCTTGTTTTAAACCCAAAGGTGATGCTTAGTTATTTTCAACAAGGTTGTGGTTTGCTTCCACATGTCATGTGGAGATGTCAGCACAATTTCATTATGCACACCGCAGACTGCTCTCACATTGGGTACTGTATGACACGGAGTTCGGGCGTGCGAAAGCGTAGTCAGCAAGCGAAACAAGCTTCAAATCTTTTGGCCTGCTATATTATTTCATTTCGGACCACTAGGAGGACAGAAGCAAACCAGTTCGTGCACATGAGAAGGTGAAAGCATGCAGCGACACCTTCACTTTCCAGTTTGCAAGTGTCCGCCCCTGTCTTTGTTTCCTTCCCGACTTGCAGGAAGCCGCAAAGCTCCGTGCTGTCACGCACCGCATCGAAGAGCTCGAGGATCCCACGATGTCCTCTTCAATGAACCGTTTGTGGTTGAGTCAGTTTTGGCCTTGGAAGGAAGCCGAGCGCTCGGAGCTCCAGCGCATGGCCGCGGCGCACGCGGCCGTTCGCGAGGCGGAGACTCGGTCTCGAGTGTCTTGGGACAGAGGGATCAAAGAGTTCAGTGAAGGAAGGCGTCTGCTGCATCTTCTTGTGATCTCCCATCTGCAGCCTACAGCGAACACATGAGTGGAAGCTCGAGCCATCTGCAAGGAATTGAAAAGTCTCTTCGCTGGCTAACTTTCCCCGAAGTCCGTCAGCCTCTCTCCCCTACCTTGGCCGTATGTGGAGCCCTTTTTGTGCCATTCACTTGCGACCTTGGTCGTCTTGTGCTGATCTGTGAATTGAATCAGGCAGCTCGGAAAAGGAGCAAGGAGCTGCAGGATGCGAGTGGGTCGCTGTACATCGAAGTTGAAGCTGCTCGAGTGCTCGAGGCATAGGTTTCACACGCGTGCTAAATTAAAATGGTATTCTGCCCGCAAGCATGCTGCTCTTCCGCTGCACCCTTCGGTCTAGAACACATTCCCTTGGGTGGCCGCGCAGGGCGTAGGCTTCGTGTGTCGGAGCGTGTTGAGCTGATGTGCCGGAGGACGAGACAGAGAAGAAAGCCAGGGAGATCAGGATGACTCCGTTATTGTGGAGAGAAGCTTGAATCAGCAGTTTTCGATGGACCGCATCGGTTTCATCGGGTTACTTTCAAGAGCTTCGGCTACTGTCGTCTTTTTCGTCCAGTATCGGGTCGGTGCATGCTAGTGTGCCACACCTGTAAGCTGGGGTTTTAGCAGGAGCGACCTGGTCATTCAGCTCGAAAAGGTCCATGCCGAGCTCAAGCAGGCAGATGGAAGGAACTTGAGGGAATGTCGTGGAATGTCATTGAATGCATCTAAATAGTTGGGCGAAGTATTCTAAAGCACGAGAAACATCAGAGTCAACTGCTGGCAGCTCTCGAAGTGCAAGAGGCAAAGCAGGGCGTCTACGAGGGCGTCCAGACAGAGGTCGTGCGTCGGCAGCAGGCACCGCATGGTGCAGCAGACGCATTGGGCCGGTGCCCACATCCGTGCACATGCCGCAGTGATGGCGAAATGAGAGTGGGTAGGTTGTGTCGACGGTGGACGATGAGATCAAGAGCATTGACAGAGCAGCTGGGCTGTGAAGTGTTGACAGCACCTGCGCAGGAATAGTTGTGCAAGCAGGGTGAAGACGGGAATTTCATTGCGAGAGAAGTTCATGAGCTGTTGCAGTAGCTTATACAATAAGCTTGAAGATTTGAGACCTCTGTGAAGGTGGTCAATGATAACCTCGAGGAGGCCAAAGGCCGTGCTCGCCACCTTGAGGACAAGTGTGGGGGACACAATACAACTTCCGCGAGATTCGCGGCACATTCTACATGCCTTCGCAGAACAGCATGTGATGTACCAGTTGTAGCAGCACTCGCCCGGTTTAGGTCTGTCAGCGCTTGTCCTCGAAACAGTTGTTCGTATCATCAACAATGCTGACGCATGATCTTGCAGTGACACGGACAAGTGTCGCTTGGGAGAATACAGCAGTGACTGGACATGCGACAGGCCTCGATTTTGTCTTGTGCTATCTTTCTGAAGCCCCGGATATGTGCTAGATCACAACATAGCTCATGGGACGAGGATCGAGGGTACCACTCTCTGTCTCAAAGAGCTTAGCAGCAGCAAATGGTTCCACATTCGTCATCCTGGCAGTTAGCATTGAATGCGTTGCATAGCTTTGGGTTTGGCTGCGGTCAGCAAGACGATTGGCAGGAACGCGCGCATCGAATGATCCAGGAGACGCAGGTGCAGGGCACATCGGAGCCAAACGGCTCGATGCATGGCCTTTTTTCACGGAATGCTAAGCAGGGCTAAGCGGGGCATGCAGCCACAGCCGCCTCAATTCTCGCAATCCCAAGCCACTATTTCCATCACTTCCATAAGCCATGGAGAGGTAAGAGACTTCGCGCTTGAAGCCGAGCTTTGCGACCACGTCGCCCGTGCGGCCGGGAGCTTCAGGGCAGTTTCAACCGAAGCGCCGCCTTAGGGTCTTCTGGTAACGGCTTTTGGCATGGAGATTTCGAGAGTTTGCAACAGAAAAGCCATGAAAAGCCCTCATTGCTTTAGCCCCCCCTGGCGCCATACTACGCCATGAATGAGACCTCAAAATAACTGGACCAATGGCCTTAAACAGGGCCTCTGTAGGGCCAAGCCGTTCCTGCTTGGATTCCATCACAGGGGAAGTTCCGTGGGCATCCCTCTCCCCGGAGAGGTCGCTGCGCTGGACGTGGCGTCGACTGTGAAGGCCCGGCATGGCTCCGCATCCGGCTGCCCGGCTCTCCGCCTTGGTTTTTTGGTCTGACCCTCCATAGTGGGAGTTTGCTGTGGACTCACTGTCATGTTTTCTGAATCCGATGCTGGGCATGGAATTCGGAGAAAACATGCATTCCTGGCCAAAAGCCTGCGAGGCCGGCGCGGCAGTGGGGCACAAGGACACCAAGTCTCCCTGAACCCTATGAACCCTGTGGCTCCAATCGGTTGTCATTGTTTCTGGGGAACCGGAAGGACGCTGAGAGGCGGCGCCGCGGAACCGCCAAGGAGGGAGCCGTTGAACAGGGGGGAAGTGGCCAAAGCATAAGGAGTCCTAACCCTCCCCGCACAGTTTAAAGCCCAAAGGCCCGAGAGAGCGAAGGGCATAGAAGCAGGCAGATGGCAGGTGAATGCAAGTGAACAGTGAGCTTTTGACTGAACGAGTCTTAACTTTGGAATCTAGGTGGCGTTTTTGCCTTTATGAGAGTCTCAGCATCACCTATTATTCTCGACCCGGCTTTGCATCGCAAGTCGCCTATAGGCCAACTCACCCTGTGCAAGCCTTGCTCTATCTTGCTCTTGTGAAGGCTTTGGGAGACGTGTTCCCAAGAAGTTCCTTGGCATCCTTCGGTCATCCCATTTGCTTTCTTCGATCAGCGCGTTGCACGTCCATTATGAAGTTGGACCGCGAACAGTGAAGAGCAGGTAAACTTCAGGTAGACCATTCTTGCTAGAAAGATGCCGAACATTGCCGAGCCCCCTCCCCCCCAACACCACAAGACCTGGAACTTCGAAGGTATGAATGGCCTCATGTGCAGTATGTGTGTGTGTGCGAGCCATGCAAGGCACCAACTTCAACCTCGTGGGCATGCACACGGCAAAGTCGCGTGTTGGCCCGCTACCCCTGAGCGTGGACGCTGTCCCGAATGCCTGACCCAACAAAGACCTCGAAGGCAGAACCAGCGACCTAGTACACATTCGTACACTCGCATTTACTTATCCAGTTGTTTTCAATGGCCAACTCAATCGCATATGCGACTTCAGAGGCCGAGACGGCGGACAGAGGAGCAAAAGGGGCGACTTTCAAAAGGGCTTGGACGCGCATCAGTGCGGTTCCGGGTTCAGAGCAACGGGTGCATCCCACTGGGCATCCGACTGGAAGAGCCTCATGGGGCCGCCTCTGCAGGTACCGCGGCCGCAGGCGATGTGGGTGCCTGGAGTTGCGGCCTTGGCAAGCCTTGTGCTCTCGGGTCCTCCCCGTGTACCCGAGAGCATCAAAGAGCGCCAGCCTCGACTTCCCAATAGTTCACCCTGATCCCTTAGCCACCAGGTTCATCGCCTCGCGGCGGAGTGGCGCCGCAGCAGCGTTGCCCCTCGCCTGGAGACCGCAGTTCGTTTTCAATGAGAGGCCGTGGTATCATAGGTATCTGTCTGGGGAAGTCACGATGAAACGGACAGCTTCAGGGACTTCTGTTTGAGGCCACTTGACGCAGATATGGTTTCTCAAAAATCAAGATTCGGCAACCAGACTGAGCGGATGCAGCAAGGGCCTTCAAGTAAGCCATGCCTTGACTGCTTGACATGCGCCGCTGCAAAGGCTTCGACTGGCTACTCGCTTTCTGCAGGCAGTTCTTATTGTTTCCACATGCCAATTGATATCAAGCCAAGCGCCGTGTACGAGACGCTCCGACCTGGAGGTATGCTGCTCGCATGCGGACATGTAGTGTGATAAGTCAGCGGAAACATGGTGATCCATTGTCTGGGTTCTGCGAAGCCGAACCAAACTCAGCACCCTCTCGCTGAACTCCAATCCAGCCTCGACAGGCGCAGCAGATCTCCCGTCTCTACTCAGGCAAAGACAGATGATGTCTTGTGCTGCGTAAGTGCCGCCCCTCTCTGCAGAATGCCATTCTGGCCATGCACCTCGTTTGAGAGGTGTGGATCTCTCGAGGCCGAATGCTTTCGCTCACGCCTGAGATGTGGAAGTTGCCCCCAAAAGAAGCTGCAGTACCTTTGTGGGAGCATCGGTGAAATCTAAGCCGGCTTACAGACATCATGGTACAGCCAAGTTCCCCTGTCAAAGCTGTGCAAAGGCGGCTCATCAGCGCTGGGGATTCCGGGTGGTGGAGCGACAGGCCCCTTGAAAAGTTCGAAACCTTCCCCTTAGCCTAATTTGGGTGCCGAACATTCTGCGCTTCCCTGCACTAGAGCCCAAAGCCTGAGCCATTCTGGCATGACTTGCACATCCCGATCTGAGCTTCTGCATATCCTCATCTGTCCCTCTACATTTTCTGGTGGGTTTTAGCGGCAGGAATGGGCTCATGCGGGCCTCTCATTCTATTGCCAAGGCGATGTGCGGGGGCCTGAGGTCTTTTTTGCGAAAGTCGCTCCGTGAGTACATGCGGCATTCCCGCACGGCACTATGGACTCAGCTTTGTTGATCTGACATTTTCCCGTTCGCCTGGACGAACTCCCACCCGAACACTTTTCATGTTCCTGTCCAAGAGGAGAACTGCCGAGGGCCATCAATATCTGCAAGCAGGAAGTACTCTTAAGTCCTCGTACGTATCGCCTCCTGAGAACCTGTACCTGAATGTGCGCCAACTGTTGCAGGAGGTACATGCTCCTGGACTTGTCTGAAGACCCAGGCTTGACCTGTCGGCCTATGGGTCAGCGTTCACTGAGTTCACTGACATGCTCCTGTCATTGCATGCCTGCTAGATCGATCTATCCCGTTCTGCTTGCCTGGTGACAACCTTGACAGCTACAGGTGCCGCAGTTGGAGTGTAATTAGATGATGCCGCCAACTGCTGTGCCCTTAGAGCATCAGAGTGCGATAGAGCGTGTTTGCACTGGATCACTTGGGACCATTTGTGCAGAATCAATTCCGATGAGGATCTGACAGGGCTGTTAAATTGCAATGCGCGTCGAAGTTCAGCTGTCAAGCCGTTTTGCGGGGAAATGCGGTTAGAGGTGCCTGTTGAACTGATCTCGGCTGCGGCTCAAGCTGTTTTCCTAGTAGGCCATGGTGGAAGTGGCGGAAGGGAGCTCCAAGCAAGTTCTTCTTCAAGATCAGGAAGCCTTGCGAGCCGAGTAGAGTTGAACGAAGGCATTAAACAAATTCAGTACAGGTATTCGCGGTACCTCTGGCCCTAAATCGGCACCCATCCCCTTCAGCGTTACAGTGCGCACATCATCATTACCAAGCTCGAAGATCAACAGAGCCAGCAACATCCCTTTTGGGAAAACCTGGCCTTGCTGCTAGACACCAAAACCATGGCCGAAGCCACTGTGGAGGCTTGAGAGGGCATTTGTCAAAGAGCTGTGCAGCAACGCAGCGTTATGTGTTTATAGGGACGGCTCATGACCTTTCTCCAGGATGTCCTCGTGGCCCAGGGCTCCAGCCTCCCCACGCTTCCGGCACGGCATCTCGTGAAGCCCCTCACACGGAGTTGGAGTAACGAGAGCAACGTCCTCCGAGCATGTGTTATGCCGCCAAGGGCTGGGCAGGGCCCAGTGAAGCTCCCGTCGCTGCAGCGGTCAGCCTCGGAGTCTGCGGTGCCCCTTGAACGAAAAAGGGGGTTCTGAGGGTTCTGAGGGTTCTGAGGGTTTTGACTTCACATGCCACAACGGAAAATCCGGGGTGACCAGAAAGGAATCGCCATGAATCGCATTTCCCGGTTCAGAGCCGAAAGCAGTGCCCAGGACAGCCGTCAAGAAGCTCCGCCCTGCAGTCTACGGGAGGCGCTGGGCCAGTGAGACATTGCTGCAATCGGAGCGGAGATGTGCGAAGACCTAAGCCCAGCTGACTGCCTGGCATTTAACGCCTCGCGGCCGAGGAGAACAAGCGCTTCCTCCACAAACGCCAGCAGCGACGATGCTCGGATGGCACGCTAAGCCCCAGATTGGCGAAAGTCGAATGTGAGGTATCTGTGTCGTATCGCTTCGTGGGTATCTTGCATCGTGGTTCGTTGGAGCTTGGCTGGACCGGCGCAGTTAGGCAGTTAGGAGCCGAAGACTCATGTCATGTCTCCTTTCTCGCGGCAGCTTTGGGCATGCCGTGCTATGCCAGATTCGGACAGAACGCAACTAGTGTGGGGCTGATTCAACCAATGTGTCACTATGTCTCCTTGTGGAGAACCGACTTTCGTTTCCGACCATTGGAGCCCATGTCGAATAGTCTCATCGCTGTCCACAAAGGTCCAAGGCTCAAAACCTGGGTCTCCAAGCCTGAGTGCGAGAGGGTGCAGACAGCTGTAACAACTAAGGATGGCAGTCTCCTGAATCCTGAATAGTAATTAAGATGCTGTCTGGAGGCTTCGGGGCCCAAGGAAAACTCCTGACGGCTTCTGAGGGCTTGAGCCTTTCACCGCCCCACTTGATCCCACTTGTAGAGCTGCAGCTGCCACGCAGTCTCAAGTCGGACCGGGCAGCATTCCAATCGTGAGTGACGTGCTTCGATGAGTGTCCTCACATCGCGCGTCATAACTTCCAGCATCTTGCTACCCCTCCTTCCGTCGCGTCTTCCATGAACCAGCTCCCAATTGTCGGACTGCGCCTGTCTGCTTTTGTGAAGCGAAGAGACGCTGCAACGGAGCCGTAGGTAAGGTAATCTTGATGCCAAGGCTGGCTAGAGCAAACCGCCCGCACACGCTTCGTCGACTTCACTGCCGAGGAGCGAGCGCCTAGGCCGAGTGGTGTGGTAAACATCCTCGCCGCTGTCCCCTCCTTGGTCCTTTGTGCGATTTGTGACCAGCCCAGGCGGAGTTTCAGCGCTACTTCGACTACCTCAAAGGACACCGTGAATCGTGAGTGTTTCATAGCGAGGCCGTGAAACAACACGTGTTCGTCTCAACCCTCTCAAGTATGCTAGAATCAGTGCAACGCTATACTGGTACTTCTGCAGCGCAGGGGGCTCCATCCGAATGTGGAAGTGGCATTCGTTGTTGGACTGTTTGCAGCTTGCAGGACCCAACGGCCTGCTTCTCGACTGCGGTTCTGAGATGATGTTTGAGTCTGTATTGGTGCTGCCTGTGCCAAGCAGGCATCGGCAATATCTGGCAGACAAACAGACAGAAACTTCCAGTCGAGATTTTTGTGCATAGAAGAGGACACTATTTTGCAATCTTCCGGTGCAAGCTGAGGATTGGTGGCGAGGCGATCGAGGACATGCTTATCGCCCTCGGTGTCGTGAACACTCAGGATGGGGCGGACGTGAAATTCAACTAAGCGTGCTTGACAAGACAAGTCAATGTTGCAGGCATGTGGTGCTGTACAGTGCTTTCGCTTGGCACGGGGGCGTGTTGCAAGTCCCCCCCTTTTTCGGTCAAGTTGCAGAGTGCGGGTGGTGAGGACGAAGTCTCTGGGCTGCTGGGATTGCAGCAAGTTGTCTGGTACTCGTAGATGGCAGAAAGTTTACCCAATTTGCTCAGAACCAAAGGCCGTAAGCATACCCACAGCTTAAGCTCTTTCGCCTCAATCTCCAAAACATGACTGCCAAGCACACCATCGCTTCGTGATTCCTGTCTGAGGCTTATAGACAAGATCGACGAGCCTGTGGCAGCTAATAAATGGGGTCTCAAAGTTCAATGCGGAATCAGGTGTGGCTCAGCCAATTCCAAGGATGCTGAACAGTCGGATGCCATTCACAGCCCATGTTCGCACAAGCAGCTTCGACAATTTTTTTCAATTCCGGGTTTTAGGCCTACGTCCTAGGCAAGGCCAGGGTGGAGGTTCGCGCGCAATGCATGGTAGCAGAATGGAAGCAATGTCCCAGGACCAGAAGAGCCGAGAACTGGATTTCGAACAGTTTCTGGAGCTGATCACAGTCAGAAATGACTCCAAGACCATCCGAGTGAGACTTGGCTGGCTGGTTCAGATCGCCTGCGCCTCCTATCGAGTAGATGATAGATGGCCTATGAATCCTCACCTGTGTTGGTCTCTGGAGTGCCGGAACATATCTATGGCCCACTGGATCGAGAGACGTTCGATCTGCAGTCTGCCCAGGTTCAGAGATATGCTGGAGGCACATTGAGCGAGCTGAGTGCCCATGTGTCACGTGCAAGCGCGCCTGTGCTATGTTCATGTCAATCATGACCCACACCTGCAAGCCTGCATGAGTTTCAGGGCAAGCTCGGCGACCGGAACCTGAATTTCCAGACGGCATCTCGGTTTGCACATGTCAGCATATGTTGACAGGCGGCTGCGCAATCGAGTTCAGGGTGTCTTGCTGGCGGTGCATCGAGTCGCTCTTTGTGGCAGTTTTGGTTGAGACACGTTGAGACGTGCTGCGCCACTACCGAGGAAAAATAGGGAAAACAAGAACCCCGAACCTGCACAATCGCTATATATCTCTGCCCGGAACGGGTGTCAGAGTCCCAACCCAGGGATTGGAAGAAAGGAGCGAGTAGAACTTGTGGAAGACTCCGAGCGAGACCCGCTTTTGACTTGCATTCACGTGGGTTTGTTCAGGGCCAGTCGAGCCTTTCTGTGGACTGTTATGTCGCGAGGTCTTGTCACAGTATCGTCGCCAGAGACTCCTCGACGGTCCTTTGGCCTGCACTTGTCGTAGCCGGCCTAGCAAAGCCGCAGCAGTTGCACAGTTCAGAACATGTTCACAATATATGTATATATATATGTACATAATAAATATGTATGTATATGTATGTATGTATGTATGTATGTATGTATGTATGTATGTATGTATGTATGTATGTATGTATGTATGTATGTATGTATGTATGTATGTATGTATGTATGTATGTATGTATGTATGTATGTATGTGTGTGTATGCGTGTATGCGTGTATGTGTGTATGTGTGTATGTGTGTATGTGTGTATGTGTGTATGTGTGTGTATTTGTGTACATATATATATATATGTATATGTAAACGGTCGCATGGTGTCAGGCACAGGCTGCATGGAGCGCTGCTCTCCAGAGCAGCGGGAGCTCGGGTGCAAGGCTGCGTTGTGCGGTACGAGACATCGGCCCCAGCAGCCAGGGGGGTTGAAGGGAGAGATTTTCACTCAGTGAACAGGGAGATCGGTGGCATGCACCGGGCATGCCTCGGCAATGCTGTCTGAACTCGTGGCACCGCCCCAACCTAGCGAATGCCTGCCCACTTGCTAACCCTCGATGGGTCGACTTCGGCGATATCGACTATATAGAAACAGTACCATCGTGAGTCCTTCTACGCGACAGGTAGTCACAGCCCTGGGAATCCTATTCTCGAGCAAGAGAGAGCAAGTACAAGTCCACAAGACCCATTCTGCCTCAATCTCTGGATCATGTGCACACATCCCGGAATAACAGGATTTCTCATTGTCATTTTCGCCCTCATCCTTCCCAAAAATCCTTTCACCCCCAAGACTCACGGGTCAACCCGCCCCATGCAATCCGGCTTCTGGACCAAGAAAGCCAGTGCAAAAGTTCTCTAAACTCCCATCCATCCTGTGAACTAGCCTTGTAGTTCAACCGTATGACTGTAAGCCTTTCAGCGGATGGCCACCTCGGCAGGTCTTGAAGAACTTCACAGCTGCTTGGCGAAGTCTCTTTGGGCTTTCACACACGGGGGGTCCGTCTATGCGATGGAAGGGCGCGCAGACAAGAGCATCCTTGGTGTCTTCCAAGCCGCCGCAATCGGCCCCTGCCCAGGAGCTGACTCGCAACCGTACCCGCAAGAGGACACTGAGTTGGGGTAGAGTTGGAGGGGTCCATTGTGCTGGTACTCGAGGGAGACGTCAAGTCGTGTTGCCTCGGCTTTCGTGACTGAATGAATACAAGCGATGCGACGATGATGCAGAGCAAAAGTGCACCCCTGGCCCCGATGGGCTACGCGTGGATGTGCGGCTCTATGCTGCTGCTATGCTCTGCGACGCTCTGCGACGCTCTGCTACGCCATGCGGGTAATGTGGTGATGCTTTAGATGCAATTTTGTGGGATAGTATGGCATGCTTCTGTGATAGCATGTGCCCTGAACAGCTCTCGCTGAGCACTTGTCTGGTCAAGCCACAAAACCATGCCCCAAGAAGTTCCTGATGCGAGGAATCCACGAGATGAAGTGCTGGAACTTTTCGGGGATGAGGAGGAGGTAGAGGAGGCCGACAATTCGCTGCATGCGAGCAGGGTGCGTCGCAGATTATGTAAGATGCAGAGAAGCCATCATCCGCGCATGTGACTTCACCCCTGCGGTCTCGATGCGGCTATGTTCCGTCGTCATCCTTCTTAGTGCAGGTCTTGGCATGGTCCGCATAGGCACGAATGCGGCACGCGATGCCAGGCTCCCCTTGGCGGCATGAAGACGCTGTGGCGAGGCGACTCGGACTTCGGGCAGTTCTTGTTTGTTGCTAATGTCGAACTAGTAAAAACCAATTGCCGGGCGTGAGATGGGTATGCTAGTGTGGAAGTGCGAAGCTTTCGAGAGTTTTCGAGGCCTCTGCACTGAGCACAACTTGATGCCGTCACGGCCGACTTCGGGTGCCCGCGCCGCCTGGATGCAAAGGAAATCAGACGATGCGAGGAGTTGGAGGGGATGTGCAGGCAGATGCTTCTTTGGAGGCGTGCATGACGTATGGTAAGTTCAATAGCATGATGTGAGGTGATTTGTGTTGTGACCTGTGCCTCTGCATGGATGGGTCGTCACTGGATTCGAGGCGCTGGAACGACCGAAGTCACCGACGGAGATCCTGGCACCTTGCCATCAGATCACCTGTAACAGATTTATAGAGCGGAAAGAGCAGTGAAAGAGCACACCCCTAGTCTCAGGATATGGCGTGTTATTATAGGAGGATGTGTTGCGGTCGTTTTCTCTTCGTGACAGAGGGACTATTGCGTTACATAATTAACAATTAAGAGGTGGATATCTCAACAAAGACTGCAGAGTTAGAGACAAGCAAACCCATACGCTCCCGGGGCTTCTGCAAACATCCGCTCTCTTTGAGTCACCCCCCCCCCCCCCCCCAAAAAAAAAAAAAAACATACATAAAAGGAAGTCTGCCGAACTTTCCTCTGATGCAGAGGCACAACGCGCTTAGAGAGCCTTTTCTCCAACTCTCGCAGCGCCTTTTCTTCACAACTCTTGGAGACTGTCCCTCTCTGTCCCCCTTCCTTCACCTTGTCCTCAAGGCACCCTTTCAGGCAGCCATTCAGGCAGGGTAGCCCAGTTGCCCCGTGCCTGCGAGATTCGAGATGCTGTTGTTGTTAGGCATCTTGCTTCATGGGGAACCCTACTACCTCCCTCTATACTCCCCCCCCACAAGGTTCCCCCCAAAATTAAGAACCTCGGTGGGGGGGGGTAAAGTATAGAGGGTGGTAGTAGGGAAGCCCATGATTGCTGTGAGCTCTTGTGAGAAACGCACACTCGTCAGAGGCCTCCAAGAAGCGCCACACGACGAGTCCGACGGCACCTTGGCGAGTCTTCTTCCTGCGGTCGCTGTTTTTCATGCTCCAAACCCATGCAGCTTTTTACGACATCTGTGACCGAGCTTGTGTCCGAGCTCCACCCCGCAATGCTGAAGACCCTTAGTGCCCTTAAACTTAAGATCATCTTAAGATCTCTGTAAAATCTCAATCCTGGAGTCCTGGATTGCGACTCAGATCGTTGTAATGGCGCCGGCTCTCCAAGATGGATCAGCTCGAGGTCCAAGTCCCGTCTCAGCCCCGATCCTGCTGTGAGTGCTTCGGGGTGTTTCGGAGTTGCTTGCTATGTATTTCTGGTAAGAAACGTGTGCAAACTATATGCCAGCTGTCGAGAACACTCGTGACAGCGCTGTCTGCCGACGTGTCTGATGTCCGGGCCATGCAGGCATATAGACGGCGAGAATCGAAAGCCTGTTGATTTGTCTACAGTTCGGGATCGGGTGGGCAGCAACCTGAGGCTCAAAGCTCGAATCGTATTTGTAGGGATGCCGGCGGTCTTTTGTTGGGAATATGGCCGGATGTTATGCAGGTGTGCATGTGCTTGCAGTCCCTGAGCCCTGAGCACGGAAGCCAACGCCCCGAACCCCAATACGAGCAAGGCATTCTGCCAAACGAACCTGAACAACCCTAAACCCCATTCCCCCGATGAATGCCCTGGGGACGGGAGTTGCTGGCGCGCTCCTTTCGGGGCTCGATGTTTTGTTGGCGGCTTGCCTTTTTTTGGGTTCGGATATGTTTGGAATCACGTGTGGCAATTCGGGGCATAGTGGCAGACACCCCGCATTACCAAGGAGGCCAACATGCGGCTCTCGTTGCAAGCAGAGGAGGTCAGGACCTTGCGCCACCAGACTTTCGAGATTTTCCTGCAGACATTGCGGCACAGCCATGTGCTGCCAGGAGCGCAGGTCCTGAGGCTTCGCCCAAGGTGAGTCATGGGGCCGTGTGCCGAAGGGGACGGTCTGGGCACAGGCAGGTCTCCGTAGATTCACTGTAGGTGTTGATGTTCTTGTTGTGTCGGTGCAACTTGACCCGAGCTCTCCCGACATGGCTTCCATTCTTCCCCCAACTCATCCCAATGCCATACTGCACCTGGTGCTCGTAATTGCTCGTACCATCCTCAATGGCTCGCATCTCGCTCGTATCTCGCCAGTAGCCTGCCAATGGCTCGGTATCAGTCTCCTTACCAGGTTGTCGACTGGCCTCGGCTGAAGCTTCAAGCTTGGCACGTAGCAGTAACTAGCAAGTAGCACTGGGCTGCATGGATGGCACGGAGCTTTCGCAACGTTCTCGAATGTTTGCGAGTCAAAGTGTCCGATGAGCACACTCAAAATTTCCGTTGCTTCATGACATGGCTCCACATGCCTGGCAGTGCCTGACATTGCTTGGCCTATCTTGGCCTTTTCACCAGCATCACGCAGCCCGATTGTTAGTTGAGCAAGATTCCCCCCGGATCTGGGCCTGCACCGCAACAACTACACGTGCAAAGAGCGCTGGTGAAGCTACCATGATGCAGTACAAAATCATATATTCTCCTTGTATACATGGTAGATTGCGAGACCCTTGTCTTTTCCCGATTGGTATCTCATGGTCGGTGAGTTCGGGGAGACATTCTTGAGGTGCGTGACAGCTGACAGACCTGCTTGAAGCCGTTGCCTGGGCAAGAGTCGGCAAGAGCTCTGTCTGCTTGCTTGAAAGTAGCAAACTAGTGGCACACAAGTTCATGGTCGCTCCAGTTATGCCCCATGATCATCTCTTATATCAGCCGTGTGTAGCCTCCTATCATCCACTACCCGAGGGCGTTCCATAGGCCGTTCCATAGGCATCCCCAGCGGTCCGGGAGTCCTGGAGCTTTTGAGGTCCTCAAAACACCCGCAGGCTTGTCTGCCCCTTCTCTCTGCTTTGGGACCATGGGACCTGGGACCACGGGACTCAAAGTGCAAAGGTGCCGCTGTCCTACCGAATTGAAAGCCCTACAGGAAGGCGGCGCTTATCACAGCTAAGCCACTTTCGCTTGTTCGCTTCATTCCACTTCATCTCGTACAATTCTGAAAATCAATCGGTTCAATTTGTCGATGCGTCAAGGAGAGACCTCTTAATTAGCCACTTAGAGCCTCAGGGTCTTAAAGAATGAACTCCCCGCCCCCCGACGTGCGACTATGTGTCCTTGCGAACCAAACTAATGATGCTGTAGCCTTAGAGTCATCTGCAGCCTTTCTGTTGCCGTTCTGTTGCTGTTTTCTATGCTGCAAAACATCCGTGAACGTTTAAATAACTTAGTGCCGTACCTTTTGGGCTCCTCTCGACTCGCCATTTGCACGGCCTGGTTTGCGACGGGCCACGGTGCTCGAAGCCCGCGGTCCCATCCCTCGATAGCTTAAGGCGCACCCTTAAAGGGTCTCAGCTGAGGAAAAGTGGCGAATCCCTCTGCGCATCTTTGTACCAAAGAAAGGGTGAAGAGTGAGTCTTTGGACTCAACTTGAACGAAGGATTGAACTCTCAGGTTGCTGGTTACAAAAGTGTGATGGTCGCCAAGGCCAGCGCCGGCCTCTTGAGCACTGGCCTCACGCCGTGCGCATGAGGCGGGCTCGCAAGCATGTTTACAAAATGGTTCTCAAGCTGGTTCTCAAACGTTCTGTTTTCGACTCTTTAAGGTTCTTTTTTGTTTTGAAGCCCCACGAGGGAGCTCCTGACCTGAACTCGGAACCTGTTGTGCAGTCTGGGAAGTGAGCACTGTTGAGAAGCCGCTCATAATTTCTCATTTCTCATGGCCAAGCCAAGCTTGAAACACTGGATGTCGTGCTTGTGCTGAGCCGTAAGTGGTGAGCGCTTGGGAGGCGCGAAGTTGGCCTCCCGAATTCTCTGAGAGCTGGTGGTGGCTTGAGGAAACACAGGAAACCCGGCGCGCACTGAGACTTCATGCCGTCCTTGCGCAGGCCTTAATTCGAATGGGCGAATTGGGCTTTGCATCTCCCCCAAGTTGTCCTGATGCCGGCGTGTCTAGATCCTGGAAACGCTGAAGAGAGTGTAGTCGCTGCTAGAAAGAAGGGCACAGGAACAACTCGGAGTGCACAGTGGCGTAGCAGTTGCCACGACGGGTGTTGGGAGCTCGGGCTTTGGAAGCATCCCGGCATCACAAGTCGTTGTGCAAGCATCGAGCTAATCCCCTCCGCATTTGGCCAAAGGTCAATGTGAGAGCATCTCGGAACGCTGCCACGAGCGGGATAGACGGATCGCAGTCAATCCGAGACGTTGGGCACGCCTGGACAGGATGAAAACGGACTAGAAAATTCGACAAACCATGGCAGCTTAAAGGTCGCGGGAAAATCCCACCCAAATCTTTAGTAGTTTGCACAACCTCGCCGAGGATCCCGGAGGCAGTCGGTATAAGTTGGTTCACGACAGGAAAATGTTGATAAAATCTGCGGAAGTTGCTGCACAACCGGTGTCGTTGCTGTATCTGGTGGCGCTTAAGGACCTGTCATGCCCATGTCGACATGTTATTCTGGGGGTTGTGACTCTGGAGAGTAAATATATAATCGTTAATAACATATTAACAGAATCACATAATTGCAAGATAACGTAATAGCAGGAATATAGTAAGTGTAGAGTGTTCGCCAAGAGTGTTTGCTCTCAGCCTCTTTTGCAAGTCCCGAAGAAGTTGTCTTCGAAGTGTTTGCTACAGCCTCTGTAGTTTGTACAGGAAAGGGTAGCTTCAGCTCTTTCCATACCGCGGCTGCTAGTGTAATTTCAGTGTTGGGATGCTTTTTGGTAAGCTTGCTTTCATAGATGAGACGCTTATCAAAATAGATGCAAGATGATTCAAATTCTTAGGCCCTTCCATGACAGAACAAGGTCTGCTGTGAGTGCCGTCCGGGTCATGCAGTCATGCATGAGACGCGTTTGGTCGCATGTTTGTATTGAATAAAGGGGTTCAAGCTTGAAGGCAAACACTAACACTGCGCGGCCTTGCCGGGCATCACCGAAGCAAAAGCTTGGCTCAGTTCTGCCCTGGTTTTCAGCCCTTCTTTGCTGGACGCCGACCATGTCGCTGTTCAACGTCTGGGGCTCACGTGCTCCAGAAACTTTCCCTGACCACCGCTCAGTGTCGTGGCCGGTCGAGTCATGTCGAGTCCCCGCTTACCCCCTTGCAGAAAATACATTCAGGTCTTGTGCCTCGGGCTGGTGGCTCGGGCTTCCGCCTGGGCCCGCGCCTCCTTGACGGTGACTGGAGAGGCTCCTGCAGGGGGGGGGGGGGGCAGGTTGCAGGGAAGGTGCCCAAAAATCCCAAGAATGAATCATGAAACCCGCTCGCTTGAGATGATGGGTGTCTTTTGTCAGGTACTCGCGGACAGGCCCTTCAAGGACTTTGCGTACTGGATGCCCTCTTTAGCGCTGCTTGAGCAAGCGCTTGTTTCTGCATCCTCGTGGCTCAGGACTACATTGGGGAGGTCAAATCGATGGCTCCCAACCTGGGTTCCCTCCAGCAGCTGCGTTTCGAATGGAAGCGCCTTTCTAACAGTCCTCATATTTGGTCTTGGCTGGGTCTGGGCAGGTCTTGGGGAAGGCATGAGGGCACTGTTAGGGCACCAGAATTGCAGCAGGACGAGCATCAAGAAACAACACTTGCAACAGCCTGCTGGGGACGCCAGTGTTAACCGGCTAAATATTCGATCCCTTATCGGCTGCCTGTAGCAGCTGTAACAGACCGGCAGTAGATCGTAGATCTAGCAGATCTGAAGGCTGATGGGCAGCTGCTGTGGCGAGAACGAAGGCAGGGAAACGCGGGGACAGATTCCCGAGTTGTTGCCGAAACATGCGCTGGTAGAGGGTTTTGGGTTTCGAGGGCGCTCTTGAGCAGGCGCCGCAATGGAGATTCAGAACGGCATCAACACGAACGCCATCTACGGACCTACAGATGAGCTTGCCAAGACAATCTTCGAGGAGAATGGTTGCAGTCCGGTGGCGGAGAAGGATATGAACCAGATGGGCAAAGCAGGCTGCAGCTACTTCAGCATCTTCGAGAACGTCGCCCATGCTGACCATGACTATGCCGCCAATTGCGTGCCGGGTTTGGTCTGCAGCGCGGACGTTGTAGGCATGACCAAGGGTCTGATTGCAACCTACGGCGTGGTCATGCAGATTTTGCAGCCCAACCTTGGTTCGCTGGCAAACATCTTCACGGGACCCATCGACAAGTGCTATGACGGCATGAACAAGCTCAATGCGGGCGAGTTGGAGCATTCCTTTGTCACGACACCCATTATGGGCCCGTTTAATATTAAGCTCGGCGAGACTACGAAGATGGTGGTTGAGGGCATGAGCCATGTCGGTGCTCTCGATTCCCTGAAGAATTGCCAGGACGGGTGGCATGGAGGGCCTTAAGTGGAGGAAGCCCCTCCCCGAGCCCCCAAGCACGAACTCGATTTCCCCCCAACGAAGACAAACCCGATTTCCCCCCAACGAAGACACATTGCTTCTGCGCCAGAACGCAACGGACGTTGGCTACCTGTTCGTCCACAAGAACCTCTACTGGAGCCACAAGAAGGATGCCGTCGACCTCGAGGTGGGGGTTTGGTACATCTTGGACCAACTGACTTAAACACAAAATCAAATCTCGTGTTATGCGCGCACGAGTGCGCACCCGGGCGCGGGACACGGCACGGGACGCAAAAGACGGGCTTGTGAGCAGGGCTTCTCGGAGTACAAGGCGTCGAAGGAAGCGGAGGAGGAGGCCAAGGCGAGGCAGAAGCAGATGAGCCTCGGATGTGAGCACCTTTAAGTCAGGACAGTCAGGACACGAGGAACCGCGGTCCATGAGCAGACTGGCAGAACTCTTGAACCCAGGCAAGCAATCGCGAAGTCCACAGACAAGGGCGACACGGAGGCTGCAGAGGAGACACTGGAGAAGGCTGGCCGCCCGTCCTCACGCAGCGTCACGGAGCGTCATGGAGCGCCACGTCAGGCCGATGCCGATGTCCCCCCTCCTAAGGCGGAGGTGGACCAGAGTGCCCCATCCTCAGTGCATCGCACGTCGATGCGCGTCAGGTCAGCCTAAATCCCAGTGATTGAGAGATCCGGCGGCCAGGCCGTCACTTCCGCCAAGAACACCGGGAAGCTCTCGGTGCCCGTGGGCGCCCGGTGCTCAGCAGACTCAGCTGATCATGCTGCAGACCCTGTGCAGACCGATGCAAGCGACAAGAGTCTCGCATGGTCCTACGTGCCTGATCGTGCCTGCGCCAGGGCAAGATTGAGATCAAGGGTGTGCCCAAGGAGGACGTGGGTGCCTCAGAGTCATGTCATGAGGGATCAGAATGCCCTCATAGCGACGACACTGTTCTCACTGCAGTCCGCTGCTGTGGTGAAAGCGCTCGGGCTCGGCGATAAAGTCAACATTGCCGCCCGGCCTCTCAAAGCTGGTGCTACGGCATTTGTCCATCTCAGTTCAGTGCAAATGTCTAAAGATTTTCAGTTCTGTGGGATGTTGGCAGTCTTATTCTTGTGTCCGTCGTCGTTTTTCGTCAGCAGGTTGCAGGGCCCAGTACCTTAACAAGCTCCCCTGCGCTCGCGCAATCCTTCTGAGTCTCCTGATTTCGCGAGCCGCACAGGATCGCCGCCTGTCCGAGACGCTCATCTGAAGAAGAGGTGCAGTGCACGTTTCACAGAGCAAAGCCTCATCAATTCCTAGAAGCGACGAACTGCGACCAGGGACCACTTCCATCCTGAGGGACAGACCTTTGAAGCCCAGCGAGAATTTGGATTCTACGCCGCAGTTTCGTTGACCTTGACCGCCTTGCTGCGCTGCTGTCAGTTTGGTGTCAAATTTGAGAACTGTCTCTGGCCACTCCGGCCTCTCAAGTCATGCGTCTTGCAGCCAGTCGAGGGAACCTTGGACCCTCAGCAACCCCTTCAAGAAACCCCTACCGGTACCCACTCGAAAGTGTCAATTGTCGGGAGATGGCGCTCTCTGAGACCCCATGGCATGAGAGCGCTGCAGTGGCCAGGAGAGAACATGTCCGTACGAGTGTGACACAGAATAAAAGGCACACGCGAAAAGCAGAAGCGCGGACTCTCTCCCTCCATCTCATCCTCTCACCTCAGGGCCAGTCCCCACGGTCCCCCGTTCCCAAGAACTTGCGACCAGTATGAACTTGCTGAAGACGGCAGATGTCACTCATGGCAGCTGACTTGTCAACAACTTTCTCGTCAAGTTGTTCGAAGAGAAGCTGTACGTAACTCAAGTTGTATCTCGCTGCTTGAGTGCACAGACGTGTGGCTCTCAGCGGGCAGCCTTATATAGGAGTGTGACAAAGAAGTTGTAATGCAGTTCACCGTATGGTACGTCAACCACGCGCCGACGTCACGAATGTGTGCTCAACGCCTGTTCTTCAGGCTCCTATGTCATGATGGTCCTTATTTCTCGTCTCCAGGCAAGCAAACGTGAGACCTTGCTTGGCTCATCATGTCGGCGCTGCTGTTCGACGTATTCGTGGAGGCGCTGCACATCGCGGTGAATGAGGACAGGGAGCAGACGCATTTTTGGCAGTTTCAGACGGGACCTCCTGCCATTGCTGAGGCCATCCATCGGAGGCGAGCGTTCGAAAAGGAGCTCCTGCAGGAGGTGTCGACATGGAGCTGCTGGTGCTGCCCAGCAGCGACCTTAGAAGGTCCCTTTTCAACTTGCCCTTTGTGCACTCTTGAGTTCTGCCATGTTCTGCGATGTTCTGCACTCTGTTCACCCTTCGGCCTCATGCTCCGAAGTGTAGACGAAGATCATGAGGGGGTCTCATGGTCCGTTGTTTGTCAGTGACTGCAGCCGTCCTCCTTCAGCTAGTGCTATTGCCATGTTCGATCCTCCTGTTTGCTGTTTGAGCTTGTCCTGAGGCAAAGGAGGTGGACAAACATGACTTTGTCGTGTGAGGCCTGGGGACTCTTGCTCTTCGCCCGCAGCTTTCACTTTCATCCAGGTGCTGAGGCTTATCGGTGCTTGAGGCACTAGCACTAGTGAACATGGGTACCACTGCAGGGTATATACGGGACTACAGAACAGGGGTTGGTAGGCACGTTCCCCTTCAACATCCTTGGTACACAAAGGATCAGTCAGGGGCAGCAGAACGTCTCTCTACCTCGGGTCTAGAGGTTTTTGCTGTGTCTTCGGTTGAGTTGACTGAAGGTCTCCTTAGCCCTCTAAGCAGTGCTGGCGTCTTGGGGGAGGTGGCGCTTGGAACCTCCCTTGAGCTGGAGATCTCCTTAGAGCAGCACTTGCAGGCGTCTTGGGTTTTCGGTTCACTGGGGATTTTTTTTCTCTCGCTCTTTCTGTCCCTGTCTCACTCCCCGTTTTTTCCATTGAAATCTTGGCCTCGGAGAAAGGTGCGAAAGCACATGGACTCGGGCTTTCTTGTAGAGGATGATGGGTTCGACCTATTGGGGAATCCAACAAAGCTGAGCCCATAATTTGACCACGTAAGCAAAGAGTTTCAAATGTATGTGACATATGTACATCCATATATACTATATAATATCATACATATATATATACACTTATTTAATGGTTTATGTATTCATATATATACACACACACACACACACACACACACACTTCTATTTTGACAAGACCCCCTCCGACACGCGGTCCATGTACTACTTCTAGATGTTCCGGATTATCCAAGTTGGTGGTGGGGAGGGGAAGTGGATCCAACTGAAAGCCGACCCTCTCTCCACCTCTCCACCCCGAAAAGCGCCCACAAAACCCTTCAACAAACCCCCGGTAAGCCGGGGCCCGAACCCCAAACCCGCAACTCGAAGGCTTGTGAAGCTGAAGGGGCGCCTCCCTCGCCGGCCCTGGAGAGCGAGGAGGCAGGTTTCAAGTCGAGCATTCCTGCTTGGGAGGTGCTCAGGGTTTCGGGGGTTCTGTTTTCTGGTTTTTTCTTACTTTTTGGTGAGGGTTTTGGATTTTGTCTGTGTGTCTCTCTGTGTGTGTGTGTGTGTCTTCGGGGGTTAGGAGCATCGCTAGGGTGTTGTTCGCAGGGTTTGGCGGTGTAGCTGTGGTTCTTGGTCTTTTGCTGGCTCGGCCAAGACCGCAATCTGCAAAGCCTGTCATCTAAAGCCGAACAAAAGAATCAAGCAGTGCCAAGCTTGGGATTTGCTTTTTAGGGTTTAGAGCGTTGAAGGTGCTGTACTCGTCTGTCTTTGAAGGGTGTTCCGTTATCGTATATAGCGTTTGTACTGGACATTTAGGTTCGGGCACCCAAACAGGGCTCCGATTTTTCGAAGAACTCGCCAAATCCGCCTCCGGGCCGAGGCTGCAGCCACTCCGACCGCGCCTTTGCCTGGTTATCGTTGTTACATGTGTTTGCGTGCGTGTGTGTGTATATACATATAGATGTGATTAGAATTTGAACTTGTGTGTCTGTAGAGGTGTGCGTGTTCGTGGTCACCCCTATTTAGGTGCTGCCTGCAATGTGTGGACAAAAGCCTCAGGAGACGTCTCCCGTCTCTCCTGCAGACAAACTGCCACGTAGCTGCCCAGAGGAGGCGGACCCGAGGGGTGCCGCCTTCACGCTAGGGCGTATGTAATCCCCCCTTATACTAAACCCCGCCCTAATTTTAAGTATCATTTTTCCCGGATCCTCCCGGCACCCAGCCCAATACTATACTAAACCTGTTTGAGAATTAGGGGAGGCTGAGGGCCTCCGCCCTTGAGTTGAGCCATTAGGGTTTTCAACTGGGGTTTAGGGCTTAAGGCTCAGAGGATTTTCAGAGTTACGGGCTCAAGGCTCAGAGGGTTTCATTAGGGTTTAGGGCTTAAGGCTACTTCCTAACTGAACCCTAAACCGCAAACCCCAAACCCTAAAGGCCCTAAAGGTCGCAGTCACTACCACATCTCTCTCGTTTTCGGCTGTGGGGTTTAGGCTTCGGCTTCCAGGTTTTAGGGTTTAGGTCCCCCTAATTTTCAACATTTTCCAGCCGAGGCGAATGTTAGAATTGCGGGGGGGTGGGGGGTGGGGGGTGATTATGGGGGAAGGGATTAGTAAGGTAATGGGCACTCATTGGCGGAGCTTCATGGATTTGAGGGGTCCAGGGCTGAAGATTGGTTGTGTGGCAGACGTCTAACGTGTCCTGTTCCGGTCGTTTCGGGAGACGTTCGGTGCACTCAAAAACGGAGATGGGGGCCATTGTACGCGACGCGTGATGTTTATGAGTTTCCACAGAATTTGTAAGCTGCAGGCTCTGTGGGGCCCGACCACCTTCGAGTTCACGAAGAGCCTGGGAAAAGTGGACAACACCATTGCATTCGGCCGGCGGCCGTGCCTGGCTCTGGGCGACATCGTGTGTATGGAGAGGCCCGCATCCGTCTTTTGGGTGGCGGGGGGTTATAGCCATTTAGAGTTGAAATGGCCTTAATGGGGTTGATTTATTGAATCTTTGGGCAAGAGTTCTCCGCGCAGGTACATCATGATGCAAGCGTCAATCCCGGATTTCAGCGAGTGCCACTGGCTCTTGAGACTGAATTCGACTTCCCTCATATGACCCTTGTCAAGCTGGAGTCTGGGGAAGCAGAGCGTCTTCACAATGAAACTATCTGGAAGAGTTCTGTCACACAGAGCCGGCTTAATGTGAGCCAGATGCTGACGCAGATCAACCACGATGTGAAATGTGCAGGCTTGCCTTTTCGACTGATTCCTGTTCATGTAGAGCAGTGCAACTATGCAAATCGGTACAACCTGACTGGCGGAGAGGGCCGCGATGTCTTCCGAGCGCTGCAGGCCTTCATCAGCCGCCCACTAGCATCTCAGCAAACCCTTTTGCATTTAGGCCTTCTGAGCAAATTGAAACTTACTAGAGCATCTCGAGCTACCTTCTTGGCAATGCCACTCGACAACCAAGGCGGTGCACTGAACTTGGGGCGGGGTGTGTCCAGCAGTGGTCTCAGGAACCGGCACACCCGCACATCACTTACGAATACCCTAACTTCAAGGACGATCTGGGCAATTGGTGCTGGGATGATGCTGCCTCGAGCGTGTGGAGTGGCTCTGACAGTCGAGCATCGTCTTTGGAACGGGTCCTCGATCGTAGCTTGCCAGAGCAGATTCTGGATAGATTCTGGGTTAGGTGTCGAGTCGTGTTCCCGCCCGATCTTTCAGAAGCAAAGGGGACGTCACATTGCCGTACTTGGGAACATGGATTCTTGTGGACCCCCTTGTAATACTGCCTGGTAAGAGGCCTTCTGGGTCACCGACAGGGCTGTTATTTGGGAAGGGGATGGGGGGCGCGTTCAAGGAACCCGCTTCATGGACACGGCCCCCCACCCCTTTTCTGCCTTAAAAGCAGGGGTGCATTGCCGCCTGCGGGCATTCTAGGTCACCGACACGGCCATTTTTCAGGAAGGGTTTGGAGGAGTGAGATATAGAAGCCCTGTCCGTAGCAATGTTTCATGGACTTCCCTCCCGCTGGCTTTCTAAAATGGCCACGGGTATCCTGTTTATCCCTGTCCAGAAGCCCTTAATCTAGCCCTGCTGGAGTTGTGACAGTCACCCCGTAGGCGGCGGGGGCATTACGTCGTCCATCTCTATCCATTCCTGAATTTCATCGGCCAACTGAGGTTTGGAGGCCGCCAAGCTCCAAAGATATCGCCGCGTCTTTGTGAAGGAGCGTCTGGGTGTGACTGCACTGCTCAGCATGGACGACGCGATGCTCAAGGACATTGGTTCACCAAGCAGTGTTGGTGCATGGGTCAGTATCACTCAGGGTAAAGCCCGTGCCCTCCCGCGACTCTTCACCTAGGCGCGGCGCACATGCTTAGCCGCAATCATGATCATGCAGGGCACCGCCCCGTACACGGTTCCTTGCAGAAGCCGAGTTTGGTGTGCTGGCATCCATGCGGTTATCAAACCTCACCCTGTCCCGTATTCCGTCCAAGTTGCGCTCCTGCAGCGCATGTTTTGGTTCATCGCTCGGAGACGGCTTTCCAGCCTTGATCAGCCTTGCGTTGCGGGGCCCGCTTCGCATGCCTGTTCTGAGGGGACTGTACGGCAGCACTTACTTCACGGCTTTTGAAACCGCGCTCGTGCCTGAGTCCTGTGCGCACGCCGCGGTCCGCGCAAAGTGCAGAACTGTCGCTTTTTGTGCCTTGAACCCTACAAAAAGCTATAGCCGTAGTCGGACTTGCGAAGAGTGTGTGTGTGTGTGTGTGTGTGTCGTGGCATTTGTGTGGCGGAATGTGCTGCTTCCTCCGAAAATTTGCAGGGCTTCAGCTCTGGTTTCTGTACATTCCAAAGATATACGTAGGGACTCATTTCGCCGCCCTGCAAGTTCTCGTGCCCTCTCAATAATGATCCTGATTCGAAGCAGGCAAGCTTTTGGGGCTGTAGCAAAGTTGAGTCGGTGTGCTGGCCTTGACACATTGATCGATTAAGTTGGCCGGGTCTACGAGTGTCTGGGATCGGGGTCGTTTGGGTTTTTGGGCACTGGATTGGCGTAGGCCCTGAGCCCAGACTGCAACCGATAGTGAGGCCCGGCAGTCAAGGCGCCGAGCCCTCAGCACTAGACCGACCGTCTCTGAACTTTTGACGCGTGCGTAGTTGGCTATAGTTTTCAGAAGCAACACAAAGCCATGATCTCTTGGGGGCTCCAAAAACGGTTCGTTTTCAGAAGCAACACAAAGCCATGATCTCTTGGGGGCTCCAAAAACGGTTCGGACATAGAACTCGTTTTGCTATCAGGGGACAGAGGGAGAGAGAGAGAGAGAGAGTTCGGGCCCTTCAAGCCCCGTAGAAGAAGAAGAAGAAGCGGTCGAGCGCTTTAGGGCTCTCTGGACAGTTGAATACAGAGATATCGCCGGAAATTTCACACTGAGCCTCCAGTTGGAAGTTTCACGACGGAAGAGGATCCGAGCGCGCGCTCGCGCGTGGGGCTCCTTCGGGGACCCCCCATGCCCTGCAGAAGAATAGAAACAAATGTATTCCCTGGCCTCCAGGCCCAGCAGAAGCAGAAGCAGAGGAAGAGGAGGAAGAAGAAGAAGGCAAGAAGAAGGCAAGAAGCAGGCAAGAAGAAGGCAAGAAGCAGGCAAGAAGAAGGCAAGAAGAAGAAGAAGAAGAAGAAGAAGAAGAAGAAGAAGAAGAAGAAGAAGAAGAAGAAGAGGAAGAAGCAGCAGCAGCAGCAGCAGAAGAAGAAGAAGAAGAAGAAGAAGAAGAAGAAGAAGAAGAAGAAGAAGAAGAAGAAGAAGAAGAAGAAGAAGAAGAAGAAGAAGAAGAAGAAGACACACACACACACGCACATATACATATGTAGCTGTATGTATATGTATGCGTATATGTATATGTATCTGTGCATATATACGCATATTTACGGAGTTCTCAACAAGCCTTGTTTACACATAGTTGCGGAGTTCTCAAAAAGCCTTGTTTACACATTTTCGTTTTAGGGGACACGAACCATGATCTATATCAACTTCGTGTCTACCCTCGAACCATTGTTGGCGTGTTTTCGAGCAGGAAACGAACCACACCCTGAATCCTAACAGCCGTGGACACCAAACGCCCTAAACCCCTTAGCAGCTAGCACGGGCCTTTGGGCCCCTGCTGATCCAAACCGGACTCCAACACAGCACAGGAGCCTGATGCGCGCCTGACAGCGTCTTTGGTGATGTCGCTGCCTCCCACATTCAGGCTCCTTGTGCTTGTTGGGGTATTTCCTTTTTGTTGGTAGCTTCGTTCGTTTATTTGGATCACCTCATCATCCTCATCATCGACGCGTGTCGTTTCTACTACTGCCTACCTGGGCCTACCTACCTACCAACCACCTCTCTTCCTTCCTATTTGCATACCTACCTACCTCCCGGCCTACTTCTCCCACCACCATCACTACTACTCCCACCTCCACTACTACTCCACTACCACTCCCACCACCACCACTATTACTCCCGACTACTACTTCTACTACTACTACTACTACCACTACTACTACTACTACTACTGCTACTACCACTGCTACTACTACTACTACTACTGCTGCTGCTACTACTACTACTACTGCTAATACTACTACTGCTACTGCTTCTGCTACTACTACTACTACTACTGCTACTACTACTACTAATACTACTGCTACTACTACTACTACTACTACTACTACTACTACTACTACTACTCTACTACTACTACTACTACTACTACTACTACTACTACTACTACTACTACTACTACTACTACTACTACTACTACTACTACTACTAATACTACTACTACTACTACTACTACTACTACTACTACTACTACTACTACTACTACTACTACTACTACTACTACTACTACTACTACTACTACTACTACTACTACTACTACTACTACTACTACTACTACTACTACTACTACTGCTGCTACTGCTACTGCTACTGCTACTGCTACTGCTACTGCTACTGCTACTGCTACTGCTACTGCTACTGCTACTGCTACTGCTACTGCTACTACCGCTACTATCACTATTACTTCTACTACCACTTCTACTTCTACTTCTACTTCTACTTCTACTTCTACTTCTACTTCTACTTCTACTTCTATTTCTACTGCTTCTCCTCCTACTACTACTTCTACGACTACAACGACGATTACGACTACAGATGATGGCGGCTACGACTACGACGAATACGACGACTACGACTGATGCGACGACTACGGTGTTGACTGCGACTGCAACTGTGACTACAACTACGGCGGCAGCCACGACGACGACGACGACCACGACCAGGACAACGACTACTACCACAACGACGACTACGACTCTGACTACGACTCTGGCTACGACTCTGGCTACGACACTGGCTACGACTACTACTATGACGACGACGACTAGTGTACATTGTGTTTCGATGTGCTTTGGGGCGTTTGGCTTCGGGTGGAGGGGTCTAGTGCTTTAAAGTAATTTGGGGTCAGGGTCGAATCAGGGAAGCTGAAGGAAGTGGTGCAAGCTGTCCGAGAGGGCTTTCTTGGGTTTATTGTCTGGGTCTCAGGTTTTCGTGGGTCCACGCCTAAGCCAGCTTTTGATGGGAAGCTGTTTTAGCAAAGTTTTCAGCGGCCGGCCCAGCTCGAGGGCACCGGTTGCAAAGTATCAGCTACAGTTCTGAACTCATGCCTTTCAGCGTTTTCCTGTTGGCGATCTTTCCAGACCTTTTCTGTACATGATTGCTGATCGTCGTTTGTCAGTTGTGCTTGCTCTTTTGATTGCTGGGGCTTGTGTGCTTCCGAGACTACCAGCTCGTATGACGATGTCCTGGGACCGGCGAATCGTTACCTGTGCACCTTCAACCAAGGGCATGCGGACTCGTCTAATGCCTGGTAGGACTTGGTAGGGGCGCTAAGCCATCAACCTACTTCAGCCCAAAATCTAGACACCCTCAAACCTCAACCAGGCTCTCGACCTCAAAGCCATAAGGGGTTTCAGGGTTTCGGGTTTCAAGAATCTTCGCCGCCCGAAACCACTAAGCAGGGCGCCTTCCTGCCCAACGGTACAGTGCGGCACGGGCCGACGCGCAAGGCGTCGGGGTTTGTGGATTGGGAGACTTGAGGCTTGTTTTTGTTTGAGAAGCTTAGTGAGGAGTCCTTGGGGTCGTAAAGGGCGTAAGGTTTCCGGTTCGCGTTTCGCGGTGGAGACTTGCTGCCGATGCGACCTGCGAGTTTGCTGAGGAGCTGTTCAGCACCGCAGCAGCGCAAGCCGCAAGCTTTGCTTGAAATGCGTGGACATGCGTGGACCAGACGTCTCTAGACATCTCTAGTCAGGTCTTCGCCATGGGATCAGACGAACACGTGCCCTCCTTCCCCCAAACGCTACCGCACCCCCCTCGATCAACAATGCTGCCGCACGTTTCCAGATTGCCTACAGCATGCCGGCCCCACGCCAATCTTCGAGTTTCGGAACGTGTCCCCCACGCCTGTTTGTGCGGGGGTTTCATGTTGTGCCAATCTCTTCCATGATGCAGAGACCCCCAGCCAGCTGGGGTGGATGTCGTGCCCTACACCCCCCCCCGCCCCCTCTTTTTTGGCGGCTGGCTTGTGGACCTGTGGTTGAGGCAACCCCACACTCTGCCGGTTTGTAGATAGGGGGATCCGAAGCTGGCCTCGACTTTCTAAACGCCCCAGCAGCACTGAACCTGGCGGACTCGAATGGTCTAGAGTCTAGGGCAGAACTCAGAAGCACACCCTGCCCCATGCATTCCCAGGCGCTCCCCCTTAAGGGTTTAGGGTGTAAAGGCCTTGTGAAGGTCAGGGCCTGAGGACCCGAAGCCTCGCAGCTGTAGCTGTGCAGGTTACGCTGAGGGCTGCGGCAGAGCCAGGCTCGGAATACACGACCCGACTCCAGAAGGCTCCCCAAACCCGAAGGAGGTGGAGCTACTCCCGCAGCCTTCTGTGCCTGGGGACTTCGATTCTCGTCTAAGGGTTCAAGGGCCCCTAGCTGTTTTTGCTAACGAAGACCCTTTGGGTTGTGCTCCCCAAACCCCAAGCTTCAAACCCCTTAAACCCCAAACCCTACAAACCCTGAACCCTGCGCCGTCGGAGGTGCCTGAGCCGGTCGCAGCTTCCTGCTGGCCCTTTTGCGCTCCCCGTCGCATCCACAGGCAGGCTTGGGGGGCTTTGTAGGGCTTCAAGGCTTCAGGGCTTCGCGGCTTGGGGGGGTTTCCAGGCAACTCTTTCTTCGACTTCCTTGGGGATTTTGGAATCCCCATGAATCCCCAAACTACCCTAGACCCCCTAGACCCCTGGGGAAGGCTTTCGGGCTTCGGAAAGTTTAAG